AAAATCAGCCGCTTCGTTGAGCTATCATTTGTGGCCAGGTCGCTTCTGAAAAAGAGCTATAAAGCTCAGTGGGCTTTAGCAGGTAAAATAAAAAAAATAGTTTATTTTTATTTATTTTTTTGTGATTTGCTTCTTTCCTATACTTTACACTCCTATCGTGTTTAAAAATTGTTTATTATTGTGACGTTTTGACCCGCTCCTACTGGACATCTGTGAAAAAGAGCTTTAAAGCTAATCAGATTCCTCCATTATAAATATTTAATATACACAAATGCTGTAAACAAGGTTAAAACGGTATTGGAGCAGTGACACAGTGGTTAGCGTACTGCGCTATGAACCTCGTGACCCCCATTTACATTCCAGGCCACAGTTAACTTAATTTCACGGTGAGTGACATCTGCATCAGTTTCAAGTCCGCCCCATTCACCAATCCACGGCGACGAGTGTGGTGAAGTATGGTCAAATAGCCCCCAGCAGTGGATTGACAGACCTTCACATTATTATTCGTATTGTTACACGTATTTGATTGTATAATCAGTATTTTTTTCTATATATGTCACTGCAATTGGATGTATGAATTTGCAAAGCCGTGCTATATGACTTACACTCCATGCAGTCCTATGTAAATGTACTGCATGAACAAGGCTATTCACACATCACTTGCGTTGTCCTCTGTACAGGAGGATATAGGCTGCATTATAATTACAGAGTCGTCTGTACTCGTGTGTTGAATAGCGAATGCTGGGGTACTTAATTCAGGAATTGTGGACTTCCTAGTGCAATATGCATTATTTAAGCTACGAGGATGGGTTATTAAGTAAATAATTTACTCGCTTTAAAATACATTTAAATACATCTATGAATGTTTAAACGTACGGACCTGTGTTAATTGGACATCGTGGCCTCTGGATTTTTTTTTCTTACCGGCGACGATGCCTTTGGCTGTCTCGAATGTTGATATGTCATCACGAATTGGACGGCAGTGGTTGATGGATCACATAGAGAATGGAGGTGGTGTCTAGAGGAGTAAATATCCCACACACTCACAAAGACATGGATGAGGCATATTATGCAATGAAAATCAACCTGAATGCAGGTAAGGTTTTGCATGGTAAACTTAAATGTATCGCTAACATTGCAGTATTACAGGTTTTAACTCTTTTCTTCCTGCAACACTCGTCTTCCTGTTATTATCCGTGTGATTTTCTCATCACACATTGCAGGCCAGCTTTCTATTGTCTGACTTTTTTTTGCACACAAGTGGAGTCACGTGGCAAATTCATCGCATTATCTGCACTCATCCACAATTCTTTTTCCGCAAATGAGTGGCAGAAATTCACGCAAATCCTGTTCGTCCCCACTCTCACCGCGAAGTTCTCCTGTACACACTGCAGTGATTTTTTAACATTTTAACATACGGACTTTGTTTTTATACATTCGCGTAATTCAAGTGCTGCTGCGTCTTTCAACATACACAATTTCGCAGCTCAAGAAAATATATATTGACATACCGTACATGGTCATAATGGCAGGATAATTTCATGGAATTCATTACCACCACCACGACACCTGCACACTGCTAATGAAGACCCCAGCCAGGGGTCAAATCCACACCTTAGCTCAGTGTCATTGCTCGTTAATTTGTGCGCGTGTGGACTAACAACGCAGAGGCTTCGGCAGCTCTGCGTCTGTATATGAAGCCACCGCCACTGTGTGCCAGCGTAACAACCCAACTTGGCGATTAACAATTCACTGCGCTTCTTCACCTGCTGCTGCTGTCTGTGGTGAGTAAGACTCGAAGGCAAGGAAGGGGAGGCGGTGTTTAACCGAGTCAAACTCCAACTCGCACTTATATTAGGTCGTGGCGAAGAGGCTAAGTATTGTTGCAGGAATATAATTACTGGAGGGCGATTGTTTTTACATTCTTCTCGATCTTTCACCACGTGTATCTCGAGTCCCGGTGTGTTAGAGATTGCTTCACGGAAGCAGATATCTCAGACCTACCTCTGAGAGCGCACAACGGGTTTCACGATTCACCGTTCTTCTCCCCCTCCCCACCCCCAAAAAAAATCGTCGCAATTCGACACAAGAATCGATTATTATTCTTTACATTGTGAAGGAGCGGCGACTGGTGGCTGCAGAGATCACTCGAACTCATTCATCGCACGAATTGAAATAAGCTTAAATTTTGATTTAAAGCTTTCGTGACTGCAGGGATTCATATTCTTGGTTCTTTCGGTAAAGTCACGTAGAAAGGAAACAATAATATAATAAAAATATAAAACAATACAATTCTCACGTTTCGACTGCAACACAAGCAATCATCATTAGGTGTGAAAACCACAAAAAGAAAATTTGAAAAAAGTGGCGGTTATTTTTAACGTTAGCACCACGGATAGCGATTTGACAGTTTGTTCAGATGGACGAGTCCATCTATGTTCGGAAAAGAGGAAGGGGGAGACGAAAAATAATGGATGCGGTCTGAAAGCCACCTTAAGCGTGATCAATCAATTAAGACACGAAATGGCTTATCAAATCATTCCAATGATTGCTAAGCCAGAATCCATCTTCTCGGTTGAAATTGTCTGTGTTTGTATATGTGGATAGCCTCATGAACGAATCTCTCATGGTAGCCAGATGGCTTGCAAAGAACCTCTGTCTTGGAAAAGTCAATGTCATGTGAACCTACTGAATTATAACAGTGATCTGCCACGGCAGAGGTGTTGGTCCTACCGTGTTTCAGGTCTGCTTTGTGTTCACGAATGCGGTCCGAGACATGTCGTTTGGTTTCTCCAATGTAACTACTACCACAGTACCCTGGCGTCTACAAACTAAGTTGCCTCTGTGGTAGGAGTTACATGGGAGAAACCAAACGACATGTCTCGGACCGCATTCGTGAACACAAAGCAGACCTGAAACACGGTAGGACCAACACCTCTGCGGTGGCAGATCACTGTTATAAGTCAGTAGGTTCACATGACATTGACTTCTCAAAGACAGAGGTTCTTTGCAAGCCATCTGGCTACCATGAGAGATTCGTTCATGAGGCTATCCAAATATACAAACACAGAGACAATTTCAACCGAGAAGACGGATTCTGGCTTAGTAACCATTGGAAAGACGTTATAAACCATTTCGTGTCTTAATTGATTGATCACGCTTAAGGTGGCTTTCAGACCGCATCCATTATTTTTCGTCTCCCCCCTCCTCTTTTCTGAACATAGATGGACTCGTCCATCTGAACAAACTGTCAAATCGCTATCCGTGGTGCTAACGTTAAAAAAAACCGCCACTTTTTTCAAATTTTCTTGCGGTGGTTTTCACACCTGATGATGATTGCTTGTGTTGCAGTCGAAACGTCGTGATAATTTTATTGTTTTATATTTTTATTATTTTATTGTTTCCCTTCTACGTGGCTTTATCGAAAGAACCAAGAATATGAAATAAGCTTCTTACAGACGCGATTCGGTGCGTGTATCGTGAACTTAAGACTCAATGTCAATTGATGCACCGTGACACCAGTAATAATAACCTTGTGGTGTTTTTGTTTGTCACAGCAAGCGCGAATTTAAACACGTTACAGTGGGTATAACGTTTATAGAAGTCTAGACTATGAGCCCACACAGCTTGAGCTCTGTAACCCGACATCGCACGCAGAGGGCATGGAAAGCATTTTAAGCAACGATACGCAGTTGATTTCATTGGAAATCCGTGGGTGAGCTGTGGTATCTCAGTGCAAATACAAGTTTCTCTGACAGCTGAACATGAAATTGGACTGATATTTTTTCTCTCTTCGAAATTTCAGGCAGGAGATGTTTTGATTGTATTCATTAATGGCTGCAGGCAGTTTATTTTTTCGGTCCAACATTCTTCCCAAGTCATTAACTTTTTTTAACATTCAAGGCCGTGAAGCCCTGGAGCGATCAGTGTGGAAATGCTGTAGTTATTTTTTTTTAGATAAGTTTGGTATACCGAGTATTTTAAGACGTGTACTGTACTTAATTCTGCACTGAAGTAGTGCAGTTCAACATACAAACACGTTTCTGACACTAATGCTGCTGTGCTTAAGTAATAACTAATTGTCACGTGTTGTCACGTAAACAAAACCTGCCAAAGAGTTACTCTCCAACACACACGCGAGATGAACTAGTAACTAATTGGCACGTTTTATATTTACGTGACGAACCTTACTAATTTGGCTGTTTCAGGTGGTGGCGGGTTTAACGACACATGTATATATAGGCGACCTAACCCAAACAACACACCTTTATGATGGATACTATTGGTCGTGAAAGCCTACTTGTTAAACACGATTCTTAGATAATGGGGCTTTACCCTGGAATAATCTTATGATGTAACCCATGGGCCCTCCCACCCTCGCTGAAAAAAGTGTATGTAGCTCAAGTGGCCCTTACCTGGTAAAATTAAAGTAGTTTTAAAGTAAAAGTAGTTTCGTAGCTTAACATCAATGCGTTTGTTCTTCCACGAAGCTCATGGTCCACCCTAAACCGCATCCACTGCACAAACCATGGCAGATGCGGATACCTGAAACACAAACGGAAAATGAAAAACCAGACCGTAACGACGCATAACGACGCAACGCAATGCCCCATCCACAAACACGAACGAGCCATCGCAGCGATGATACACCCCGCTGCTCCTGGACGCGGTTGTCTGGGCTTGACAACCTGAATGTGAAATTGTAGTCGTCGCTCTGGCGTCAAACATCAGCCCCCTGAGAATTAAATTGAACGAGCGTGGTGGTTGGTGGTGGTGGTGATAAATAAATTGAATGAGCGTGGTGGTTGGTGGTGGTGGTGATAAATAAATTGAATGAGCGTGGTGGTTGGTGGTGGTGGTGATAAATAAATTGAATGAGCGTGGTGGTTGGTGGTAGTGGTGGTGATGAGCCAACTCTGCCCGGCAGAGGGCGGACGAACAACGTGCTCGGCCTGCCACCGCACGCCCCGCACGTGGCGTTTCGCGACACTTTACGACTCCAGGAGCCGGTGTGTTGGACACGCTTTACGGCTGCCGTCGGCGCGATTGGCAAGGTCACAACAACGGCACGTGCGCCGCGTACGCACTGTACGCTAACACACTGTACAGTTTAATTATCGCCGGTTTAAAAAGTTTCAACTTCACTACGTTTTTTTTTAAAACAACAACAACCCGACGGATTTCTGAGGCGCGACGCTGCGAGCTGCCGGGAAGGGTTTGTGTTGGTAAGGCGACTCCCCTCGCGATTCCGTGGTCACGATCGAGTCACTTTCCGTCCTCGCTACCTGCGGCCGAGGGAGCTTCGCAGGGACAGAGACACGACACCAAACTCACGATCGCGAACTTTGTCACTCTCACTCTGTCTCTCTCTGTCTCTCTCTCGTAAAGCCCGCCTCGTCCGTGGCCAGCAGCGGGAGACATCATCGGCATCCGCCTTCTGTGAACGTAATAATGCCGCAGCTGCTGCTGCTGCTGCTATAGGCAAAGTAGAGCATATACCGGTCGGTTGACAGCCTCGTTGTAAATCCACTGCTGGATGAAGGCCACCCGGCGCTGTCGGTCATTTTGGGGAAGGCGGGGGGGGGGGGTGGTGACCATACTTCGCCATGCTGGTACATAGAGTGCGGGTTGGTGATGAATCAGAATATTTATACTGGAGGAATCCTATGAGCTGCAGCGCTCTTTTTCACAGATTTAAGGGATGCGCACAGGAGCAGTTTAGATGTCCCTCGCCAATGGTGGTGTTGTATCAGTAGAGCCGATATTCCAGGCCGGGTTTGCCGGGGGGTGGGGGAGCGGGCACGCAGTGCGTTAACCATTGCGCCACCGCTCCACCTTCACCACACACCGCACATTTATCGGATGAACCCGTGGTAGGCCGGCGACTTGTTGCTAAATGGGTAAACCTTCAGCTACCAAATCACGAACGTCCATGTCACCAGATACAACTTCTCTTCTTGCGTGCGATGGTAGCACAAAATAAATGTTCAGGAGGCAGATGCCAATCATGTCGAGGTCTGACGCTGGCCGAGACGAGAGTCCTTCAGCAGACAGACATTTGCGTCGTTCCGCTGTGCCTGCGTTCGAGGAGTGCAGACTTCAGTGAGATTTATCCATAATCGAAGTTTTTTGGGTTACATCGCGTAAATATAAATGTGTCGTTAAACCCGTCACCACCCGACACAGCCAATTTAGTAAGGTTTGTCACGTGAACAGAACATGCCAATTGGTTATTAGTATAGCATACCGGTGTGTCGGGTAGCGGCGGGTTTAACGACGCATTTATATTTACGCGATCTAACTTAAAACACCTTAAGGATAATATCGGTCGCGAAAGCCTACGTGTTATACAGGGGTTTAATTTGTGTGTCCGTAGTTTGCATATCATGACCACAATCGTCTTTAACGTGTATTTCTGTTTTAATTTAAAGCTTTCGTGACTGCAGAGATTCATATTCTTGGTTCTTTCGGTAAAATCACGTATAAGGGAAACAATAAAACTATTTAAGCAGTGTCTCACCAGGGGGGGTACCTCAGTGTTTAGTCCTTGATGAACCACAATCCGCAAAGCTATCACTCCAACCATGAAGAAGGACCCTCTTGAGGAGCCATTCAAAACCATCACTTTACCCTACATTTCGGGGATCACAAAAAATATCTCCAAAATCTTGAATAAACACAAGATCCAGGTCCGATTGAACACATTACATAAAATCCGTGATCTAGTTCCGTCTGTAAAAGATGTGATTCCGGACATACAGTACCCTGGCGTCTACAAACTAATTTGCCTCTGTGGTAGTAGTTACATTGGAGAAACCAAACGACATGTCTCGGACCGCATCCGTGAACACAAAGCAGACCTAAAACATGGTAGGACCAACACCTCGGCCGTGGCAGATCATTGTTATAATTCAGTAGGCTCACATGAGATTGACTTCTCCAAGACAGAGGTTCTCTGCAAGCCATCTGGCTACCATGAGAGATTCGTTCATGAGGCTATCCACATATACAAACACAGAGACAATTTCAACCGAGAAGATTGATTCTGGCTTGGCAATCATTGGAAGGATTTGATAAACCATTTCGGGTCTTAATTGATTGTTCACGCTTACGGTGGCTTTCAAGCCGCATCCATTATTTTCGTCACCCCCCTCCTCTTTCCCGAACATAGATGAACTCGTCCATCTGAATAACTGCCAAATCGCTCTCCGTGGTGCTAACGTTAAAAAAAAACACCACTTTTTTTAATTTTCTTGCCGTGGTTTTCACACCTTATGATGATTGCTTGTGTTGCAGTCGAAACGTCGTGAGAATTTTATTGTTTTATATTTTTATTTTTTTATTGTTTCATCGTTTCCCTTCTCCGTGACTTTACCGAAAGAACCAAGAATATGCATTTCCGTGTATCTGTATGCGTCTCTAGGTTTACGATATGTCCCATAGTTTGGGTCGTGTGACCACAATCTCACCACTGTGGATTGGCTTTAATTGTCCATCCATGAAGGAGATGCGCGTTTGGTGGTTACTACAGAGGTTTTGCCAGTGGCTATGCCGCGGGTGGACAGGGGATATGTAAGCGGTCGTCGAAATCTATTTTACCGACGTGAAAGATATCATAAGTGGTTCTGGGCACCCCCCCCACCCCTCCTTCACTAATCCGTACTGAGCAGTGTGGGTGAAGTATGGTCACACAACCCCCATAACCGAAAGGAGTGGGGAGGCCTTCATCCAGCAGTGGGGTGGTGGATTCACAAAGGGGAGGTTGTGCACCACACGAAATCGTCACCGTTCAAACTTTTTTCTACAAGTGGTTATTTTGCAGAGTAGAATTCGTAAAGGAAAAAACCTCCCATGTTAAACCGTGGTGCCCATAAGACCCGTGTGAAGTAAGAACTCCCTCTTATCCACCGTTATCTTATCCCTCTTATCCGCAGCAGGATCGAGCCGATTCCGTGATTAATCCAATTATTCCGTGGATCAGCTTTTCCTATTTTAGAATTTGCTGATTTTAATTAATAAAGCCGGCAGACGTAATTTAGACAAACGAGATTTTCCCACACTTGCGCGGATTGGAGGATGCGATGGTTATATTAAGAGTTTTACCCCAAATGTTGTATTCCATTAAACTTTTACAGTACGCCGAGACTAATGGCCCCTCATAAAGGTTGTTTTTGGGTTAGATCGTGTAAATATAAATGTGTCTTTAAACCCGCCACCACCCGACAGCCAATTATTAAGGTTTTGTCACGTAACAGAACATGCCAATTCGTCACTAGTACAGCACACTGGTGTGTTGGAGAGCAAATCCACAACATATACAATCTGAGTACGACGTTTCGCCAGTAATTACAACTAACATTTTCGGGCAGACAGCCAGATTTGTGGAGAATCATTTTTTTTCATTTATATTTACGCGATCTACTCCCCAAACAACCTGTATTATGGATTATATTGGTCGCGAAAGCCTACATGTTAAACTAATGGCCCTGCACATGCATGGTGGGTGAAGTAGTAACATTTGGTACAATTGTCCCGTAACCATGAAGCCCTAAATCTTAAGCCCAAACCCTTAACCTATACCAAAGCTAAACAAAGAGCGGCCCTTTATATTTCAAAAGCTAAAAGTGAATAGGACCTCTAACGGGTAAGCGGAGCCCAAGGCAGCCGCGTGATTTGACGAACATTTGGTCGACGATTTGATGAAAATGTGGTCACAATGTCACCATTGTTTAGACCCCTTCAAGACATAATATTCTAAAATACTTATTCTATTTTCACAATCATCCATCTTCACTTCACAGGCTCTGAAAAGGGTTTTTTTTCTCTTAAATGTATGTTTTTTTAATTTCAAGGCATTGTGTTTATGACAATGGTAGTCCAGTATATCCTGTTGTCATCCCACGATGGCAGATGACTTGATGAACAATAACATCCGTCGACTATCATGGACATGATGGCACAGAGAGAGGGATTGGAAGTTGAGGAGATGTAGAGTAATACTCAGGGTTTTCATACCAAAGCTAAAACGTATTTTAAACTTTAAACATGGAATACAGTATTTTGTCTTGCAAACTCGCAAGTGGCTTGTGGTGACCTGAATGTGAGTTTGCTTGTATTTAATCAATTCTGCTGAAATAACACACCCCCAGAAGGCCGTGGTTCTGTAACAAAACAAATCTTCGAATTGTATTTTGTACGTCGAGAGACATACATTAAGGAGACATTGTCCGCTTGTATATCGTGTTGCTTTATGTATTCTACAGAACGAAGCCAACGATAATTTTGTGTAATTGTACGTTTTGCGTGTTCCCCATGTCCGACGAGTACTGTATCTTCGACACACATTGAGCGGGCATGGTGAGGTTACACTCCCATATCACTCTCCCAGAGGTACACTCGTGCAGGCTGGATTGTTGTATTGCAGAACCACGGTGGCTATGTCTTGGAGAGACATTCATTCAGCGGTGGATTAATAATGGACAATTATGGTGCAGAATTTTTATATTGTGTCATTGAAATGTCCACCATTTTTTTTGGGGGGGGGACTTACCCTCCTGAGATCTAGCTAAATTGATCAATGGGTTGCCAAAAACGTAAGGATATAGAGTGATATCCTGCTCGAATCGGCACTGTGGTGGTGTTAATCTCCTGCTTACAGCCCTACAGAGCCATTGGTGGTCATTCCACATTTTCCTATGGTGGGGGTGGGTCTATCCATTGGACAACCACAAAGTGGTGCCTGATTTATCGACCCTGGTGGGATGATGGGCTTATCACTCGGTCACCTGGCCAGATATGGGACAAACCAGAGCCAAAAAAGGACTATTTGAAAACAAACAATCAAGTGCATTTTGCTTCCATAGTCATCAGTAAATACTTGCAAAGACAAGCACATGCTGGAAAGTGTAACAATCCATGCGTTTGCTGAAATCTGATTCTGTTGAAACACTATGCTAATGAGGGGGTGTTACTCGTGGAGGCTCTCGGTGAGAGGGGGGAGTGTGGTCCGTTGTGTATTGGGGACGTTAACATTTTAATGTTTTCAGCAGGTCGTGGCAGTTTAATCAGGGCTGTTAAAGTCAACAATACACTTGCACAGTAGGTGAATGGTGGGGGGGGGGGCGGCGGTGACATGCGTGTTACCCACCTGTGCAGACTGCTAGAATATGGGCACAGCTAATCCTCACGTCCCCATGCGCAATGTGAACACACCCGCTCGGTGAGAGACAGGTCAGGGTGAATTATAATCAGGAAGCAGTTGACATCCCCTAGACTAGAGAGCGGGTGCTAATCTGCATGAAATTGCCGTATGTGCAAAACGTATCGCGCATATGTATAATCAGAGACGAGTACACGGTCTTCTAGTCACACCTGTTAAGTACATCCTCACATAAAGTCCTGAAGCTAATTCGCGGTATGCTTAACCAGAGGTCACGACGGTTGAGATGTGGAGCTCGCCGATGTGGTTTCAGGTCCGTGCCCGCGGTGTTGTTCCGCGCAATGTCCGACGTTTCGCTCCACTTTCTGGTGTGCTTCCTCAGGAACTGAATGGAGAAGCGTTCATTCTCTTTCTGATCAAGCTCGCTTGCATCAGGGCCCGTGCCAACCACGCCATTTCGCAGGCCGTGCTGATATAGTCTGTCAGAATCAGAATATTTATACTGGAGGAATCCAGTGAGCTATAAAGCTCTTTTTCACATATGTCCAGTCTGTCCTGTGTTGGCCAATCCCGTTCTCTTGTGGTCAGTGACTTGCTTGTATGGCCAATGCTGTGGTTACTTGTCAATGGTCACTGCTCTCGGTATGTTTGCCAGTGCTCATTTTGTTGTCCAATGCTGTGAGGTTAGGGTTGGTGCCATGTACACATCGTCCGTGCTGTGTCAACACCATTCTCTCGTGGTCAGCGCGACGTTTATATATACACTCAGTGCTGTGGATGTTGGTCACTCCCATGCTAGTGCATTTGCTCTGGATTTTAGTGCTCATTTGATGGTCAGTGATCCAATGGCTGTGATGTTATAGTTGATGCAGTGCACATATGCCCTCCACTGTTATATTATTTGGGTCTTTCGGTAAAGTCACGTAGATAGGTTCAAAGAAAATAACAAAAAAACTACGACGTTTCGATCGCAACGCAAGCGGTCGTCATCAGGAGGGGGAAAAAAAATGCTCTCTACTGTGTTGGTCAGTGTGCCGTTCCCTTGTGGGGTCAGTGTCTTGTATTGACTGGTAGTGTTCTCTTGTGGTCAGTGCTCTGCTTATAATCTCCATTGGTCAGCGTCTCGCGGTTTTATGCACGTTGAACCTCTTTCGCACCTTCTTTGGTTCTTTCGCTAAAGTCACGTAGAATGAGAATAAAATAATAAATTAATAAAATAAAATAACACAATAAAATTCTCTCGACGTTTCGGCCACAACACAAGCGGCCTTCATCAGGTGAAGGGACGAGACTGTCTGGAGGACAGCGCCGGAGCGAACACAGCCAAGCTCAGACCGCGACCTTTAAGCTGTGTGAGAAGAAACGGAGCGCCAACCTTGCTAATCGGAGGTGCTGGGTCAGTGTGCCGTTTCCTTGCGAGCAATGCTTCCTGCCTCTGCGCGCTGCGTGCTGCAGGCGTGGGACAGGCTGCAGGGAGCCGGGGATGACGGCCCCGTCGGGCGAGGAGCGGCGCCGCTGCTGGTCGGGCCGCGACGCCTTCTGGAAGTGCGCGGACGCGAGCGAAGTGGCCGGGCGCAACCCCGAGTCCGAATGTGCCGCCCTGCGCAAGGAGTTCGTGGAGGCCTGCCCTCGGCAGTGGGTGTGTGTGTGTGCTGCTCTCTGCCTTCGCGCGCGCGCACACGCACACACAAAGACGAACACCCCCCGTGGAGCCTTAACAGACTGTTGGGGCAAGTGCTGTTAGCAAGGAGTAGCACCTGTTAAGGCCGGCACGGGCACACGAAGTGCGTGGGTGGCCAGCGCCACGCCCGGCCACCTTTGTCTCCCGAGTGGCGATGTTTACTCATCGCACCTTTACTTGGTAAATCAGTTCAGGCTGCGTCGACCTATGGGAGGCTAAATGGGGATTTTCGAAATGAGGAATCCGTGTTTGTTTTTGAAATGGGGGGGTAGGGGGGGATTCCATATTTTCTGTTTGTGTCAATGAGCATGACTCTTCTTGACATAGATCCAGTTCAGATCAGGTCAATTCACTTCACATCTGATGTGAACTGATGTTGATTGTAAACACAGCTTGTCGATAAACGTAAAATAATGATCGTGTAATTTACTTGCCCCGGAAAGCATTTCCGCCCTACAGGAGTGTCCCACATTTGGATGTTTTGTAATTTCACGGTTCCTGTGTCGTTCTTAAGTAGTTATGGTAGCATTACTTTCCCGGTATTTAAATTCCCACGTCTCTGTCCACCCCAGCATGATAAATGAATGCACCACAGTTAGTCCGTCGGCAGGTCGCATGGCGTGGGTTACTCCCAACTCTTACAAGACGTCTAGCCAGAGTGGAAGAGTAGGCCAAAATACCCACTAGAGGGGCTTTAGAGCTCCCTCTAGTGGCGGACCTTCCGCCAGCAGTGTTGTAGTGAGCAAGCAATAGCAGGGGATGTCCCTTTATCTTTATAGTAGTGTTACTAATGATTTTTTGGGGTTCTTATCGTGAACTAATTGTAGCGCTCTGCAGTTTGCCCGAGGGCCAGGATTAACCCAGGCCATACTCAACAACAGCCGCCTTAGCGAACGTCTTTTGAACTCGGCCCGCTGGCATTCCAGCTGGTTCAGTGTCTCACCTCCGCCGGTAAAGCTACACCTGTTTACTCCCCCGAGTTCATACGGAGGCCTTGTGCAAGACGAAGCACAGGATCTTTTTTTTGTTTGAAGCGAAATTTCATTGTTCCTATGTAGCAAGTTAACAAAGGCAATATTGTGACGGCACGCAAGAGGAGGCACGGAGTGAGCGGCGGGCGCTCAAAGCGCACGTGCGCACTCCGTGCGGAGCGTTGTTTTGATTGGGGAAAACAAACGAGTGAATTCTTTGTTCAGATCCAGCCGAGAGCCAACTGCGATCTTCCGCATGGCAGAGGCGAACGTGTATTGTATTAAGGCCGTTGCGTGATGTCGGACGTACACTGCAGATATCGACAGCTGTGGGTATTCGTTAGTATAATCGCGAAGTAGCTTTTCACTTGGGTGCAGTATTTCAACCAATTGTTGATGAGTGTGGGAGCACACTCAGCAACACTCAACACCCAGGACTCAAATTGACACTCGCCAACGCTCGCCCGCACTACAAAACTCGCTTACCGTGGCGGTACTCACCACCACTCGACCAACACCCAGCAGTGCCCCCTACAACTACCGACACGGTCCATTCATAATTTGTGTCGATAGTTTTTTTGTTATTTACGGTGATGGTTTTTTTCCGATGCTTCGCTGCGGATGGCGGCGATACGAAAGCAAAGGCACTCTGGTGACGTTGCGGCCTCGTCCTTGTCGACACGAAGCTGCCGCTCGCGAGCCCGAGCCGTGTGCCACCCGGACATCTCGTCCCCCCCCCCCCCCCCCACCGTCACAGAGTCATGCCGAGTTCACCCTTTGTTGAGCTTTTCAAAAACCTCGGCAAAACAATTTCTGCGAGGGAACTCGCTGCGGGGCCCAAAAACAAAAAACACGAGAGAGAGAGAGAGAGAAAAAAATACCCCTAAGAATTAAACCCTGGCAAAGTGCACCTGTGTAATAACGCATCTGCTCCCGCTCCCTTGCCCCCCGCCCCCCCGATTCCCTTCTGTCACAGACCAAGTATTTTGACCGCAGGAGGGATTACCTGAAATTCAAGGAGAAGCTGGAGACGGAGGGCTTTCAGCCATACCAAGAGAATCAAGGCGGCAAATCCTGACAGGGACCTGACCGCCATCAGCTCGTCGGTGGCCCTACAAGTCTGGGAGTGTGGGGGCTTCTCCACGGCGTTTCCCGTGTCCGCCCCACCCGCCCCTCTCCGTTGCCTCGTCTAAAGCGTCGCGCTCCAAGCGAGCGGGAATTCTGTTTAGTTCCCCCCCCCTCGCCCGAGAGGGATTAGTTTGTAACGGCATGGCTTCGTTGGTTGGTGACGCGTTGGTAAAAGCGAGCGGCGTTACCAATGCTCGGTGCACAATGCCCTTATTGTGTGGAAATGTTTACTTCAAATTGTTAGTTAAAGTAAGGGGGGGGGGGGGAGGGTGTCAAATAAAATAATATATAACCACTTGATAACCCACAAGACTTCGTTGTCCATAAAGTTTAGTTTGAGAGTAGGACGATTGAGCAAATTGTTCAATTAGCTTTGTGACCATCGACACATGCAAGAAGAACACCCATGCCGCTTATATCAATATTGTTAAAACAGCTTTTTAACTCATGCAGTCTTATCAAACACATCATTTGCTGTAAATATAGATTATGTTATCACATTGTTGTGGATTACTGTCGCCCCAAGTATGATCATCCTATTAAAAACAGAAAGAAAAATCCACACCATTCGTCTGTCGCGATACGGTGATCACTTTTGACGGCAGATTGGCTAAACGGACTTTGAACGAGATAGGAGTCAATCCGGGCTTTAGCCGGGCACCTGGGCTGGGGCGCTGACAACCCCCCACCCCCCCCCCCCCCCGCGGCGTGTCCTCAAGAATCCCCCACCAGGACCACACGGCGATGAATATTCCATCGGCAAGCGGCTCCGTTAAGGCGGCGTTGCAGCCACGGTCGGCCAGGAGTGTTCCGTGTCACGACGCGGTGAACCCGGGGGTCTCCTTCCATTTCACGACTCGCTGCAACCTCCACCCCCCCACCGCCACTCCACCACCGCCTCTGTGGTTATTTAAAAGTAAAGATGCAGCCCTGCAATTGCTTGCCTATATACTATAAACTAACTTTATAAACTTTTGTTTTACCAAGTGAGGCCCACTGAGCTACATAGCTCTTTGTCAGACGTGACCTGGCCATCACAAATGATAGCTCAACGAAGTGGCTTATCACGTGGTAATTTATAGCAGCCAAATTACTCAAAAACACGTGATGTTGATTCTAAATGTGGAGGGGAAAAACCGGAGGGCCTGAAGAAAAATCCACGTGACCACCGGGAGAACATGCAAATTCCAAATATACACCATGTGTCAGGGTTGGGATTGAACCCACAACCTGTATACGAGGCGAGGGCATTAACATCTCGCCTCTGCCACAGCTGGTGGAAGGGCCTCCACGTAAAGCCGCCCTCTCTCTGCGGTGTTTGGCCGCTGCAGCCCTGCCACGCTGGCCAGGACGTCTTGGGAGAGGTGAGAGTACCCACACTTTACCCCACCACACGATTGCCGGCTGTGGTGTACTCATACCGCTGGGTGGACAGGGAGTATTCAAGAAACTTGGCCGATTTTATCTTGGCGCGCAGGGAGATTGTATAACGATATTTTCCTATATGGGTACGATTTATTTTGAGCTTGTATCATAAGATTTATTGTAGCGTCGCCAATATCGTGGCAACAATATTCCCCAGGGTGCTCAAAGTAATTCGGTAGCATTGTGGAGAATATAAATTAAAATAGACGATCAATTTCTCCGAATGTTGTCTTTCCACAAAGGATAAAAGTCCCGTGTTACACAGCCCGTCGGCCTCATGGCCTTGTGGGAGGGAATAGTCTCCGCAGCATTGATTAGCTCCAAGAAAACTGGACTTGTTACGTTTAAAGCAGGCCTGACTGCTGATGAGACATACGCTGAAAGCTTGTACTGAATCAATGCTGCTGAAATGATTCCCTCATACGGGTTGTCAAACAATATATTTGAACATTTCCACGTGCAAGAATAGAGGTCTGTTACCTGCAGTTCATGCATAGCTTCTGATTAAAGGGGCCCAACTGGGAATTTGCTTGGGGCTGCAATTGAGAACCCCTGCACTGCACACACACACACGTGTTCAATGGGTTAATTTCAGCTTAAGCGTTTGCACTTGAAGCAAGTTGCTTAGAGTAAACACTTGGGATCAGTATCACGATCGTGAACTTTAACCAATTAATCCCAATTGTGCGAATTGCAACTCGACACGGTGGCAAGGACTCGCCCCATCGGTTATGCGTCCGGGATGAATACCAAACACACTCGCTCGCCTTCTGCGTTTGACGTTCCTCCTCCTCGCAGACACTGGTGGAGCAATCGTCCGCATCAGAACATCAACAGGCCGATGCGCACATCTTCAAGACAAGCCACGGGATAGTGCGACACAAACTATGGACCATCGAGTAAACGCACAGCGACACACTCACAGTTTATACATCGAGACCCAAAGATAAACGGAGAGGTCCGTAGACACTCGTAGAGAGACAGATACGTAGAGATACGTAGATACATTACAGAAGAGCCACTGCCGTGCGACTGTTGGCCATGCAACCCAACCAACCTCTAGGGGAAGAGCAAAACTACACAAAGCCCTCCTCTCGTGGCGATAACAAACCTGTCAACCCCTTCATTATCTGTGCCCTACTTTATTACAGACCAATTCAGACCTTACTGGTCACCCCGAGCCCTTTATAAATCTCAACGTTCATCCTACAAAGTCCCAACACAAGGGAGAAACACAAAAAGTGGATTTGTTGTTGTTCCCGTATTGAAAACGGCTGCACGCCGTATGGACCTGAAAACTAAATTTCCCTGCACAAGAATGCGGGGTAAACCGTACGGGTTGACAGCTCCGCTATAAAGCACAGACCTCGACATTGGTTGGCATTTAGCGTCGCTGTTAACGTGCGACCCGGCTGCGTTCACGCCAGGGGGCGTCATTGATCAAACCTCTGCACGCGAGCAGCACTCCGCCACGCGCGCTATGGCAATGTGGTCGGTGTACAGCGGCGATTATAATTCACTGTGCAACAAAAATTGTGTTACATAGTGATAGAATCAGCCGCTGCGCTCACGGCACCTGCCTCGTGAGTTGACCGGCCAATCGAGCTGCTGAACCTGCGGGTTGTGTGTGCGGTTGTGCGCGTATTGTGAACATGTTCTGACGGGGGCGTCCGATCCAAGTAGATCATCCCACTCTGCGGTCTCCGGGGGGGGCAGAGACTGCGTCCGTGCGCTTCTTTGCCCAGAGAAGAATCTCGAGAGGGCAGCACGCAGTTCACGGAGTGTTCTGCACAGTCGTATAATCTTACTCCCTCTTCCTTCCATGCCTTGGATGTGTTCCCCCACAGTTGCTTATCGGAGCTTTCTTCCAGTTAAAAAACAAATAAACTATAAACGTTTTTTTTATTTTAGCACGCAAGCCCCACTGAGCTATACAGCTCTTTTTCAGAAGCGACCTGTCCACAAATGATAGCTCGACGAAGTGGGGCTTATCACGTGGAGGGAAAGAGCGGAGGACCCACCCGCAGGAACATCCACCCGCAGGAACATCCACCCGCAGGAAAATCCACACGACCGTGGGGGAAACATGCAACCTCCAAATATACAGCAGCAGGCGTCAGGGTCGGGATCGAACCCGCGACCTCCTGCGTACCAGACGAGGTAGTTAACATCTCCTATAGGTGCTCGCCAACAGCACTTGCCCCAACATTCTATCAAGGCTATACGGGGGATCTTTGTCTTTGTTTGCTATCAGCCCACGTGGACACGCAATATTCCGCGGCTGAGGAGGAGGAACAACAACAAAACAAACCACACGAGTTTGGGGATTTTACAGAACCAACGTCGCATATCCCAAGCACTGGGGGCACTGAGGTGTAAGGGGATTTGTGGAAAGGTCGAGCACGTGAACATCTCTAGCAGATGACGGTCACACCGGGTACAATAATCACTGCACTGGGTGTCCGCGTGGTTACGCGACATTGTGTTTTAATGTCCCACCCCGCCCACACCCCCAGTCTTGTCTTAATCATCATTTCAGCCAGGCAGTGAGCAAGTGTAAAATTTCCACCACCACCCCACCTCGCCAAGATCTGCGATCCTCTCCTCCAGATATTAAGTTGTCGTCAGCCAATTAACGAGTGTTTACATATTGGAGGAAACCGGAGCAACCTGGAAAAAGGTAACCAACGCGTGCGGGGGGGGGGGAAACACTTTATCCCACTCAGATGGAACAGGTGGAGATTTACGTTTTGTTGCTGTACCACCTTCTGCCAGGCCACAGTGTGGCCCGTCGAACACAAATGGGGAGACGAAGAGGAGAGTGGTGGCTCAGTGGTTAACATTACACCACGCGCTCTGTACCCAGCAACCAGCATTCAATTGCTAGCCAGGGATATCTGAATTGGTTTTGCTCTCCTTGACCCTCCACCACTACCACCACCACCTCACCAACCCGCAATAAAACATTTGGTATGTCCAAACAACCTCCACATGGTTGAGAGGGAGGCATTAAATCCGCGAGTAGATTTACAAAGGGCCGTACATTATTGTTATTATTCTTATTAAGATATTAAATGTAAATGGTAACAATTTCAAACCTTGACTTGAAGCTTTCGTGACTGCAGGAATTCATATTCTTTGGGTCTTTCGGTAAAGTCACGTAGATAGGTTCAAAGAAATAACCTATCTACGTGACTTTACCGAAAGACCCAAAGAATATGGCAACAATTTCAGTAATAAATAAATGCATTTATAAACCAATCTATTAAAATGTCAAGGCATATGTCTCTTCAATGATGTGGATGTTTCAGGACCCCATCTGCCTATCTCAGTAGCCGGGTTAATCCTCTGCGCATTAACGGCTATGATTAGCACAGAGAACAGAAGGTCAAGTCGTGACAGTGGACAAGAAAGCTCTCGCAGTAATTTTATAAACCATATTTTTTCATCCTCGGGTCCGGAATATATTTTTACATTTGAACTTCGCAAATTGCAGTACGATACACATACCGTTGTTTTTCAGCAGTGACGCAGCAGCGTTGCTGGTTAGCGCATCGGCTATGAACTCGGCGATCTATTAAAATTGTTAAACTCGGAAAGATGTACCAAGGTGGAAATCGAGGCATGGGGTTTGTGAAAACAACGCCACTGCGTTTTGTAGACATTCTCAAATATGGTACAAAAATCACCGGCGTACATGGGCCCAGTTCCCGTGAGCCACCATGCTCCAATAACATAGTTTTCTAAATTAAAACTACCACTACAAGCGCTGTAAGCACTTTTTTTAAAGCCCTCGATGTTATTAACTTGCTTTTTAAAAAAAAATCACGAATCTAAATAGTTGTTGCAATGGTCAGGAAATTAAATCCGGTGTTTCGTGGAGAGAAAAATAAATCGTAGTATTTGCGAATGTTTTGTCATGCTTTAGCTGCTGTGTTGGCAGTGGTGCGCAGAGTTAACAATATCAACAACTCACACTCGTGAATAAAACTCATTTCTTTAGAGCTGCTTTTTGCGTTTAGTTTTTCCTTCAGCAGTACCACCGATTCGCACGGTCGGCTTTGTACGGTGCGAAAGAAGTTCAACACGCGTACATAGAGTTACATTTTAAAGGTGTTTTCTGATTCTCAAGGGGCA